CGGGCCAGGTACGTCCGCTCGCCCTCCCTCGCCCTCCCTCCCTCCCCCCCCCCCTCTCCCGCACAGCAGCGCGGGCGAGGGCCCAGTCGACCCACCCTGACGCGCGTTCTAGTGCGGCCACTCGGCGTGTGCGGAGATCCCGTCCTACAAGCTCGTGAACGGCCCCAAGCTGGGCGGCGCGAAGGAGAAGGTCGTCCAGGCCGCCGCGGGCGTGACGTTCTCCGTCGTTCTCACGGAGAGCGGGAAAGGTGCGTCTGTCCGGCGGGGCTATGTGTGGACGGCGGACGCAGGCCGACTCTTCGTCCGCCCCGTGCAGTGTTCGCGTTCGGGAGCGAGGAGAAGGGGCAGCTCGCGAACGGCCAGGCGGGCGAGCGGATCGTGTCCGCGGGCAAGTCCGCGTTCGACTACGAGACGGAGCCGAGTGAGTGCTGTTCCGTGTGCGGGGACACGTTGGTGTGCGCGTTCTAACTCGTCTCGTCGTCGTGCAGTCCTCGTGAGGGGTCTCGCAGAACGCAAGATCGTGCAGATCGCATGTGGCCCGCAGCACGCCCTGGCGCTCGACAGTGATGGGTGCGCCGTTCTCTACTCACTGCATCCGCACGTGCCCTCGTTGACTGCTCTCTCCGGCGGACAGACGTGTGTACGGTTGGGGGTACAACGGGTACTGCCGTCTCGGGCTGGGAAACCAGCAGGACGCGCTCGTGCCCAAGATGATCCCTCAAGTAAGCCGTGCAGTGCCGCTCGCACATCGCCAGCTGCTAACCCTGGTTTGGTGCAGTTCGCGGGTCCGAACGAGATCACGATGGGCGCGCACATCGTCGCCGGACCGTCGAACTCGGTCGTCATCGACAAGCAAGGCATGTACTACATGGCCGGGAAGTGGAAGAATACCGGAGATGGTGAGGCGTGCCCCGATGCTGTGAGGCACTACATCTGACCACGGCTCCGCAGGATCCGGCGGGCAGCCGTTCTCGACGTTCAAGTTCATCCAAGACATCATGTGAGAGCCGTGGCGTTATCTAACGGTTCTCCTCGTCATGATGCTCATCGCACGATTCGCAGGGGTTGTAAGATCATACATGCAGCGTGCGGAGGCGTGACGCATTGGGCGGTTGCGCAGGAGGAAGACGGCGTTATGACTATCGCTTTCGGCCAGGGCGCGCAAAACGGTGAGGAGGAGCCTTGCAGTTTGTGGCACACAGCTTCATCCTCACGTATGCCTCAAAGGCGAGCTTGGTCTGGGTCCGAACGAGCCGAAGAGCTCGACAAAACCCCTGCAACACAAACCGTTGACTGGGATCGACGTTCTCCAGTACGTGTTCTGTCTCCTGTGCCCAAGGCCACTGCACCATATCTGACAACCGCGCGATCGATAGGATTGGTGCCGGTCAGAACACGACGTACTTCCTGGTGCGCCCGAACGAGAAGTACTCTGACCTGCCGCGGCATCCCCTCGAGATCGAGGCCCCAGAGCTATGCGTGGTGTGCGACCGCGACAACGGGGACGACGATCTGCCTCTGGAGTGTGATAAGGTCGGGTCCTCTTTGTTCCCCGCGGACGCGCATCCGGCGGCTGACAGCAGCGCGCGCGCAGTGCGACTACCCGTACCACCTGAAGTGCCTCGACCCGCCGCTCGACGCCGTCCCGGACGGGGAGTGGTTCTGCCCGGAGTGCGCGGCGGACCCGGGCGCGCCCGTGCCGCTCGACGGCGTGCGGCGGCCCAAGCCCGCGAAGGGCGGGAAGGGGAAGAAGGGGAAGGCGCCAGAGGAGCCGGCGGCGCACGCGGGGCAGAAGCGCAAGGCGGCGACGCAGAGTGCGCGTAAGTGTCTGCGCGCGGATTCTGCCGGACGGTGTTGCTGACCGTTGTGTTCCTGCCCCAGCGTCGAAGCGCAAGAAGTAGCAGGCCCGCAGGACTTTGAGTGTCGAGAATCCGCGTATAGCCCTCGGATAGTCGCGTGCGTGGTCGGTGACTGTGGTATCAGTTTCGTCTCATTCGCGCATGGTTTTGTATATGATTCCTCGACGCCGGGTAGTCTTCGGTGCGTGTCTGTTCGGGATGTATTCTATTTAAGATGTCCATTAGGACGAACGCCATCCACCACTCAACTGTCTGCTGTTCACTGTCAGTGATCGACGACAGGTCCGTTCTTGGCTAGGCACTCGCGCGCCGCGGACGGGATCTGCAAATAGCTGTTGGGCCCGAACCTGGGCCTTACTAGAGCGCGTGAAGGAAGGGGAAGAGGGGACCGCCCTAGACCACAGACCAGGTCGTCAGGTTCTATCTGAGCGAATCGGCCAGTGTACGATCTGCGGGCGAGCGGCGGACTGCGCTCGTGGTGGCTGCGAGTCGCGCGCTCGATCGAGGAGTGGGCGGGGATGAAAGAGGCAAGAGAGATACCAAGACGGTGTGTGCCTAACGAACCGCTCTGGTGACTAAGAAACTACGTCCATACAGCCCTCGGGTGGGTCCAGAGGGGGAGAAAACCGCGGACGGCGCTGTCGTATAAAGCCTCGCACTGGCCGGCGTACGTGCGCCAGGACGACGGCCCCTCTCGCGCTTCCCCGCCGACCTGCGGTGCTCCTGCCCCCGCCAACGCCCCGGTCGCAGATCCACACTGACCACCCCGTCCATGCTCCGTCCGTTCGCAGAGGCCCGCGCGCTCCCGGTGAGCACTCGCTTCTCGCCCTCGACCCGGTCTGCTCACCGCGCCGCCGCACGTCTGCTCGGCAGACCACCCGGAGCATCGGTATCCTGCCGGGCGAGCCCGTCGCGTTCGCCACGGGCTTCATGGCCGGCCACACTATCCGCGCGGAGCTGGAGGAGATCCAGAAGGCAGACCACGGACGCAAGTACGCACCTGACGTTCTCCGAGCCCGGCTGTCTCGTGTGGGATCCGACCTGAGTGTGTGTCTGCCATGCCCGCCCTACAAGATACGCCATCAAGGACAAACGGGCGCTCGACCCCCGCCCGTCGTCCTCTGCCGCTTCTTCGACGTCGTGCGCACGCCTGGGGGCACGACGTGCGAACACGACCTGGACCCGGACACAGCGGTCGGTGCTTCCTCCCTACCTTCATCGTGTGCTAAGCCCGCTGCTGGCAGATGCTGGGTACCGTATGCCATGTCGATCTTTTTCCTGTCCCCGCTTCCTGTGCGGAACCGGGCGGCTATTGGCACCACGAAGACGAGCCGGACTACGGACCTCCCCATCCCTTGCTCCGTCCTGAGGAGGCGGCAACAGAATCTGCCAGTCCAAGTCAGTCGTGCGGCACCGTGGACCAATCCAGACCTCGCGTTCAAACCCCGTTCGCTCCCCCAACGCAAACGAGCAATGTTCTTCCACCACTACGAGGGCACATCTTCAACCCTGAAACGACATCGAATGTCGGGCTCCCCACGGTCAGGTCCCTCCAGTCACCCTCAGTCGATCCTGACATCGTCACCTGGTTCCGCGGGTATCCCGTCCGCGAGAGCTCAAAGTGCACAACGCTCCTCTCCGGCTTGACGGTCATGCAGAGCTCGATCATCGACCACAAGGGGAAGAAGAGCGCCATCTGCGTCTTCTCGGTAAGCCTTCCCCTCGCCCTCCTCCGTCCGCCCCGCCCGGGCTCACAGCCAGGCGCGCGCAGGACCTGTCCGTCAAGAGCGTGGGCACGTTCATCCTGCGTTTCCGGATGTTCAACGTGTTCTCGCACCGCGCGGCCCCGCCGCACCAGCCCGCGCTCGCCGAGTGCTACGGCGGCGCGTTCCGGGTGCACACCACGAAGGATTTCCCCGGCCTCCGGCCGTCGACCGAGCTCACAAAGGTGCGGGCCCACCCCCTCCCTCGCCCGTCTCGCGCACACGCCGCGGCGGCTGTTCCGTCCCTTTGCCCGCACCCACACACGCACCGACCGTTTGCTCTGTTCTGTCGCAGCTGCTGTCGATGTACGGCCTGCGCGTGCGCCTCCGCGAGAACGAGCGTAAGCGCCGCCGGAAGTGCGACGAGGACGGCGACGGCGGCAAGTGTCTCGGCGACCGCCTGGAGCAGCCCGCCGACGCGGCCGAGCGCGGAGATTACGGCGGCCCGCCGCCTGCGCCGCCGAGGTTCCTCGCATTCCATTCCTCGACGTTACAAGGCGCACGGCCTGGGCCGGCGCGTGCTCCGTTGGGGGATCCCCCGCGGCGGAACGCACCGTCGTCGTCGCCGAGCACGGGCTATTCTCCGCTCACGCACTCGGACTGTAGCGTCAAAGGGGAGAGCCCGGAGTGAAGTAGCATGGGCCGAAAGTGTCCCTGGAAGCCTGAAAGTGTACCAACATTGGACTGCCCGCGATGGCTCTGTGGGCGCTGTATCGGAGTCGGTTCGTAGAAGTTGTTATTGTATCTTGCGGCCGTACCCGCGTCGCTCCCGGTCCCTGACGATGTAGCACACTCATCCAAGTCGCTGTACGAGAGAATTCGTCCATGCAATCGCTGGGTCCCTCGCGCTTGGCCATCCGGGTCAAGTGAGGCTCGGCGAACCTTGTCGCGATGTCACCCAATACAAGTCGGCCAATCGCGCATCAAGTTGTATATCCCGTTATCCCGTCCCTGAATACTCCGCGCATCTCGACCAGTCCCGCCAGCCAGACGGTGCCAACGGCACGCACGTACGCAGCCCGTCCATGGGCCAAGAGGGCGAGCAGCGCGCAGGCGAGGCACCCGCTCAAAGCGGCAGCGGGATCACTGCAGCTGATGGCTCAGGGCGCGTCGCATGAGGTGAGATGTGGTGACGCGCCCACGTGCATTTGAGCCGCGTCAGAGTAGTGAGGCGCGTCAACCGTCGCTGTCGGAGGCGCACGCTTGCCACTGTCGACGCTGTGACTACTCCGCTTGCCAGTGGCACCCCAAGCAGTCATTGTGCCACATAGCTGTACGCATGTAGGTCCTGCCCGGTGCCGCCCTTACTGCAGTTCCGACCGTCTCTCTGTGCGACTTGGCAACTGAACGCACCTATGTGCGAAGGACTCATTTTATTGGCCTGGTGGTCTAGTAGTATGATTCCTTCTTAGGGCTGTGTTTCAGCAATATTGGAGGAGGTCCCGGGTTCAATTCCCGGCCAGGCCCTTCCAAGACAAACAGTAAGCTTTTATTGGATGGGGCAAGGATCGTTGTGGTCACGAATGTGATTGATACAAGAAATTTTTGGTCCCAGGATATACACCTGCATGCTGCGGGTACTACTCCAAACGATATGAACAGCATATCACCAGCGGACAGTGTCAGGTTGAGCCTCGAACAACGGCCAGCTCGCGAGCACAAGTGAGGTCTGCCTAGAAAACCCGTCGAGATCTAGAGTGAGACGGTGAGCATTTGAAGGCATCGCGAAGGCATGAGCGAAAGGTCAGATATGCGAATTGTCATCTTTCGGGCCTGACGGCCCTCAGACTGACGTGCAAATAAAAACATAACGGATCATCCTACGAACGGAAAAACGGGGACCGAACTCGACACGTACCACTTCTGTGCCAGTAATCGGATGACAATGTCATGAGAGACAACGTGCGGCCGCGCCGAAGGCCGAAGACGAGATGTCGCCAGCCGCGGCACGCGAACGCCCTCCGCGTGCCTGGACCGTGCGGAAGGAGATCGTCGCGCAAAAGGCATGCGGGATGTATTGGTCAGAGTGGATCGTCTCAATAACGCGTGGGATCGCACTGCAATATATTTGTCTTGCCAGTCATAAAGGAGTACGATAGCAGATCGAGGGACTTCTCACATTATCGCGCTTTCCCATACTCCTCGCTCAGGGCGTCCGCGAGCTTGTGCAGCTGCGCGGACGTGGTGCTCTCCCCTGCGTTCTTGGCGAGGCTGCGAGCGCGGAAGGTCTGGAGGAAGTTGTCCAAGCGTTGCTGGGCAGCGTCTGGGGAGAGCTGCTGGACGCGGAGAGGCTGGACGCGGAGCGGGGGGGTCAGCGCGGCGTCCATCGCGGTCGAGTGCAGAGTTCGGGGAAGAAAACCAAGAAGAGAAGAGAGCCGGGCTGAGGCGCCGGGCGCGCCGGGGAAGATTGTGAGGACACGTGTCACGTGGGCGGGAGGGCAGTCGTACCACCGCGGGATGGCGAGAAATGGGAGCCAGTCGGTCTCAGCTCGTGTGTGTGTGTGGAGAGCGACAGCCGCGCCTTGCCTCTCTTAAGTCGCGCACATCACCGTCCAGGACGCCCTCCTCGCCCCGCCCGCGCTCGTCCCACAAAAAACCAGCCGTCATGAGCGCCGCGTCCCTGCTCATCCTCCTCCTCACCCATCCCCTCGAGTTCCGCACGCTCGTGCAGTACAAGGTGTGGCACGAACCCCTCAGGGACATCACTGCGCCCTCGGAACACGCGACGTCAGGATGGGACCGTGCGACCATGCGGAGATGTTGGGAGTTCCTCGACATGACCAGCAGGAGTTTCTCTGGGGTCATCAAGGAGCTCGAGGGCGACTTGGCAAGAGTGGTACGTGTCGTGGTTACTCCATCGCATACTATCGTGTGCCAGCAAGACGCCAACTTGTGCCGCTCATGGCCAACAGATGCTCACAGCTTGTCTGACAGGTCTGCTTGTTCTACCTCTTCTTGCGCGGCCTGGACACAATAGAGGATGACATGAGCATTCCGGACGAGAAGAAGCAGCCGCTCCTCCGCAATTTCACCAAAATTGCGACCCAGGACGGCTGGACCTTCACCGAGAACGGGCCCAAGGAGAAGGACCGGCAACTGCTCGTCGAGTGGACCGTCGTGACCGAGGAACTCAAGCACCTCGATCCCAAGTGCGCCCCTGTCTTCCTTCCCACTTTGGCAAGTCCGCTAACCAGGTCTGCGGCACGATTCCCAGGTACGTCGACATCATCCTCGATGTCACCGAGAAGATGCAGATGGGCATGGCCGACTACGCCCACATGGCCGCGACGTCGGACAGTCTCTACGTCGAGACCGTTGAAGAGTACAATCTCTACTGCCACTACGTCGCCGGGCTCGTCGGCGAAGGCCTCACCCGCTTCTGGTCCGCGTCGGGCAAGGAGGCGTCATGGCTCGGCGACCAGCTCGAGCTCTCGAACTCGATGGGCATCATGCTCCAGAAGACGAACATCATCCGTGACTTCCGCGAGGACGCCGATGACCACCGCTACTTCTGGCCGCGCGAGGTCTGGGGGAGCAAGGCGCTCGCCGACGCCGCGGGCGGGCAGCCGTTCAAGGAGATGTCGGAAATGTACCAGCCGGGCAACGAGACGCAGGCGCTGTGGGTCCAGAGCGCGCTCGTCGTGGACGTGCTCGGGCACGCGTGCGACTCGCTCGACTACCTTCGGCTGCTCACAAACCAGAGCGTGTTCACGTTCTGTGCGATCCCGCAGACAATGGCCATGGCGACCCTCGAGCTCTGCTTTATGAACTACAGCATGTTCCACAAACACATCAAAATCCGCCGGGCGGAGGCAGCCTCGGTAAGGCACGCCGGGACTCTCTGTCCAGGGACGGTACTCATACTGTTTCTGGCAGTTGATCATGCGATCGACAAACCCAAGAGATGTCGCGTACATCTTCCGCCACTATTCACGGCGCATCCACGCCCGCGCCGTCCCCGAAGACCCCAACTTCATCAAGCTGTCCGTCGCATGCGGCAAGGTAAGCGCCGGCCTGTTCGCCCGCTCCAATAGCGCTCACCACAGACGCGCCGCACACGCAGATCGAGCAGTGGTGCGAGCGGCACTACCCGTCGTTCGTGCAGCTGGGCAGCGTGTCGGGCCAGGCGCAGTTCGACCCCTCCGACGCGCGCACGAAGGTCGTCGAGGCCGGGCAGGCGCGCGACCGCGAGCTCGCGCGCGAGAAGCGCATACAGGAGTTCCGCGAGAAGCACCCGGACGCTCTCACCGACGGCCGCGACCGCAAGCCGGCGCAGTCCTCCACCGGCGAGCTCTTCTTCTACGTCGGCACCGCGTTCGCGATTGTCATCCTCACTGGCCTCGGCGCGACGTGGCTCATGCTGCAGTACTTCGGCTGAGGCGTGGGTTCGCTCGGGGGTCGGGCGTCGGGGACTGGCCGGCGGCTGTGCCTGTCGGCTGGCCGGTGGAGGCTTAGATGCTTTGGGGTGGCCGTGCTGTGCCCGTTGTACGCGTTGGACACGGTGCGGTGCGCGTCTGACGTTTTGTGTGTTCCTCTCGTGTGCTTGATACCCTTGGCAATACAGTACAATGCGACTTGCTGACTAATCGACATCGGGATGTGTTGTGTCCGGAAGTCAGGGTATCAATGCTCATGATTCTCGATACTCGGGGGAGCCGCAGCTAGCGGTGTCACTGCGGCTGTGCGTCTGTCCTATCACAATTCTGGCAGCTGCGCGTATACAATTGAGAGCGTCCTAGCGGTCATGAGTCGGGGGCCTACAATAATTCTATCGACAACCTCGGTCTCAAGGGTAGCTCTGGCGAGGATGAATACCACCTCACCGCTTTGCGCCCCATATGCGCAGATGTACCCTCGCGCTGGAGGCGTCTCTTGAGGTTTCGGAAATGATTCAGGCCCCGAAAAATGAATATTAAGGGACAGCGAAGACACTGGAGCCGGACTACAGTGGGACCACTGGCTTCTAGTATCATCTATGTATCTTTGAACGAGTGTGTGCACGCCGCGGGACTCGCGTAGCGGAATTTAGGGTTACCTCTTGACGACCATACCTGAGGACTCTCCAGAAACTTGGAAGAAAGACTCAATGTAATTCAACCGCGGTATCTGTAGTAATAACCTCCCCATGTGATAGTGAGTTGAAGGCCCCACGTGTCAGTCACGTGTGTTGAGATCAGCACCGTCAAATCCCACGGTGCACGTTGCCTCTTGCTTTGTTCATTGACTTGACTCAAATGGCCCACCATGTTTGCTCTGCTTTTCAGCCCCCGCTGATCGTGCATCACACGCACGCGCTTGCCGACGCCCGCCGTCCGGCGTCTGTCGCGCGCCCCCTCGCGCGAGGTCTTGAAATATTCATTGATCAAGCGCCCACATAGTCGCGCACGCACGGCACCCACCAGAGGCGTCGCAAATCTATTGTGGATCCCACAAGACTCTTCTGACTCTGAGACTCGCTTAACGGTTAATATGCCTCAATGCTGCACAATCTGCCAGTTTGAAAAGGAGCTGGACAATCTGCCATGTTGAAAAGGAGCTGGATGCCTTCGGCGTCAGCATCAAGGATTCCGGACAATTGTGGAGACCCTGACACCTGAAGCCGCGTTGGGTTTCTTGTCGCGCACTCTTGATTTCTTCAAGGGATATCGCGGCAAGTTGGATCCGCGCTATGCGCAGCTAGCGAAGACACAGCTAAGCGGGATTCTCAAGCAGTTGAATATGCAAAGGCGCGCTGAACGATGCCTCGTATGAACGCGCGTCAGCGCAATGAGCCAGTCGCATCCGGGACTTACGGTTGTAGGTATCGGGAACGTTCCGAACCATTGTAGTTATTTGTAAATATGTACACCACGAGCACTGGTGCGGTGCATGTGGGCGCTTGGTCAATGAATATTTCAAGATAAATGCATGCATTTTGCGTGCGGACGCGTGAGGAGAAGGGCCCGCGCGACCTCGCGCGAGGGGGCGCGCGACAGACGCCGGACGGCGGGCGTCGGCAAGCGCGTGCGTGTGATGCACGATCAGCGGGGGCTGAAAAGCAGAGCAAACATGGTGGGCCATTTGAGTCAAGTCCATTTAATTCCTTGGTACGCTCGTTTACTCTCTTCTTCCGGGCCTTGCGTTCGTCCTCTCGGGTCTTAGCTGGGTCCGTCCTCAGCTCGAGCGCTCCTATGGTACAGGTTCGCCCTCGTCATCTCCGACTCGAAGACACCGGGCGCGACCCTTGCTTGGAAGATTGCACATAGCCTCTACATCGAATAGCTGGAGGATGCTTCGGGAAGACTGTACAGCACAACTATCGGCCGTGGGCGCCTGGATCTCTGCGCACTCTGAACTCTATCCTCGAAGGATAAATCCCTCGGTCATTGTCCTACAATGCTTTCCAACCAACCTCTCAATCACACCCTCACCGTGAACATCGGCCGTGTGGAGAGCCTGTGTCTGTCGCATGCGGTACGATGTGGTTG